CCCGGGGTCGAACCGCTGTTGAGTATCCAGTCAAAGTCGTCGTTTTGGCTGTTTTTGTACGCACAAAACGTTCCCGGTTCGAAGTCACAGTTGAGATCCGAGAGCGGGACCGTTGAGTCTATGGACGGAATTTACGTTAACTTTTCATCAATCTACAATGCTAATACTGAGATATAAAAAACAATCCAGCTGAACGTGCTTAATCCTACTCGTGTAGAAAGGCCCTGTAATTTACAATTTTTCTAGCGTCGAAAGTTCTCAGTCTTGATGATGGATCAAGAACATACGGGTTTCTATTGGTTATTTCAAATTCTTCATAATTGTCATTTTTCAGAAATGTGTTTCTACCATAAATGTTTTGATCACGATGAACCAAAACAAAGACTTGTTCCTACCACACTCCCGTTCCAGAACGATGATGTCATCTATCGCCACGTCACAACTGTAACCCCATGAACCTTCTCCAACAAAAGTAATCTATAGAAAAGATGGAGCCCAGACAGAGCTAAGTAAATTAAGTTTATGTTTTGATCAATATTGGAGATAGGTGTACTGATCACTTCTTCCTTTTATTTTTTTTATTCCTACGTTATTTCTCAATGAACCTATTCACTGAAATAGACGTTTTTGAAATGAACTAAATTTACGTTTCTAATTTAAATCAGAAGTAGATTTGATGATCACATCTGAAGATAATATGTACTCGTAGGAATAATTCCTGAGTATGTCCTTGCCTGAAAATCACTTCCTGGGTAAATATTAATCCATGCCTCGTGCCAGTAGTCACCAGAATCACCTTTCCTGGACCAACGAGAAGGGCCAAGACCCCCACTGCCGTCCCCTGTGTACACCGTCAATGTCCCCTCGTCTCCCCCATACATGTAATACCAAAATCTAACACAGGCGCCAGTAGCAGGTGCCGTTGCCTTGACACCATCTAATCGAGCTTGATCACCTTGCATGTATCTCGATACCTTGCTGTATATAAAGAATCCGCTTGCTGTCAATGAAACCAAGAAAATGATGACGACAAATAACAATTCAATTGAAAATCATCATTAGGTACAGATCATTTTTATCAAGATATTTCTGTCACTCAATCAGCGAACGTCTGTTTTGCGATCCCTAATTACTGATATAATAAACAGAATGCGAATTCTAATACAGTTGACGTTTGATAAAAAATTTCTCATTTTTAATATCTGCTACTTTTAGACAAAATTTGGAGCATGAGGGGAACTATCTTCTCAGTTTCTACTACTCAAGTACCAAATCACAGCAATGTAGAAAGATGACTGTTGACCCTCCCCACCTCCATAAGTACTCTTCTTTTACTTACGATCTCCCGTAGTACGGTCTGCTTCGGGCCCAGTGTCAGGGCCTGATATTGGACCGCTGTGGAGATGCCAGTCAAATTCATTGTATGGGTGGTTTTTGTACGCACAGAAAGCGTTGAAATCAAAATTACACTCCAGATCTGAGAAGGTGGCCTTGTTGTCTGAGGACAAACAAAGATTTCAATAATACAAGGACCATGAAATGCAGTTTCAGTACATTTTCTCAATTAAAACCCTTCAAGTTCTACCTTTGGGTTTCAGTTAACCTGATTTTTTGTAGCATATATAAGTTTGCTTTGCTATTCCAACCCGTTTGGGGAGCGTTTTTATTTCTATTCTAATGCATATTTCCATATTTCTTAGCAAAATTATATTATCCACGGCACAAAAACCATTGCATTAGTATGTAGCCTACGCAACAAATGCTAGACTTTTGTAAACACACTCTGTCGCAGATGTCATTTCCTTTGGCAATAAGTCGGAGATCAGCCTTTCGTCAGTAACGTTTTCAAAACGCACCTTTAGAGTTCACAATGACAACATGCAGAAGCGCCCATTGTCCAGAAATGCTTGGTCAATTTTTAATATGTAGAAAATTCACTTTTTAGTTCATGGAACTCTAAAAGGATGTCATACAGTCTTCATGCAATGGAGAAGGGTACAGAGTAATTCTAAAAAAAAAGTTCATCGCATGAATCCTATAGTCTACAGGCAAAAGCTTATTGAGCTTTAAGAGTTTACTTATAACTTTAACCTCTGTTTTATACCTAGATATCATTTAAAACTTTTTTGTCAAGTCTGTGAAAATGGTTTACGTATGTTAATAGAAAAACTGTAATTTACAGCACTTCTAATATCGAAAATGATAGTCTTTTGTAATGACAAAGATGCACAGCATATGGGTTGCGCGCGGTTCATCTTAAATTCTTCATAATCTGTTTTGGAGTAGAGGACAAGGCCGATTTGAGTCCTAGTTCTCCCGGCCTAGTCCAGATCTCGCCACTACCATTAAAGGCCAAGGCCACAGTGTCCGAGGCCAAGGCCAGTACGTACATATTTTACATAACTTTACTTAATAGCAAGTGATTTCGCACTGTTGGCTGCTCACAGAATTCATCTAGATTCCCAAAGTATCTGTCGTAAACAACACATCCTTACATATTATGTGTGAGAAAAATAACCAATTGTATGTTTCACTAATTAAGTGCTTTGATTTTGCAACATTTTTAACAATCTGATTCCCAATTCGAGTCGACATGACTATCTTTTGTTTGGCAGGTGTTCAAAAGCTCAATTTTAATAGAAACAAGGCAGAGGTAAGAGGATGACTCCCCAGCCCACATAACTACCCCTGCAAAATGAGAAAAATTATTAAAGCTAAGGTTTGAAATATTACTAGTGACGGCTTCATTTTAACGCAAGAAGTGTATCTTAACCAAACAGCAAACAATACACACTGCATTGTCCTTCCAAAACGATGATGTCATCAACAGCAATTTCACTTCCCGCGTTTCTTCCGCATTCTCCTACAAAAGAAATCTGTGGAGAGAAAATGAACACAGATCTATCTAGGAAAAACTAAATATTTCTCTAAAGAAAAAGTAAGGGGAAAACACGCCTATTATTTTCCTAAATTTAATTCGGCACAGTTTATCACTGAACCTCACGATACAAACTTATGAATGTGAAAAACGATGACCTTATAACACACAACCATTTTATATGACCCTGGATTTAACACAATTTCCAAGCAGAAATCTACTCATATGCTGCACGACGACTTCTTGCCTGAAAATCGAGTCCATAACCGATGTTAATGGATGCCTCGTGCCAGACGTTACCAGAATCACCGCTCTTTGACCAACGAGAAGGGCCAAGACCCCCTTTGCCGTCTCCTGTGTACACCATCAATGTCCCCATGCCTGACCCGTACATGTGATACCAAAATTTAACACAGGCGCCAGTAGCAGGTGCTGTTGCCTTGACGGCATCCAATCGAGCTTGATCTCCTGGATTTTGTAACATTGCCTTGATGTATATGTAAAACCCGGTCGCTGTCAATAAAACCAAGAAAATGATAACGAAAAATAGCATTTCAAGTGAAAATCATCATTAGGTACAGATCATCTTTATCGAGATATTTCTGTCGCTCAAAGAGCGAATGTCTGTTTTGCGATCCGTAATTTCAGAAATAATATAAACGTCATTGATCTGAATAGTTTTTGCATTCTTGCCTTTGTTGGATGTATCATTGACAAAAATCAAAGATCGCAGTTACCAAAATAGTTGCTTGGAAACGTAAAAATTCAATAGGCTGAAACCAGTATCCAAAAATCAATAATAAATCAGATGATGACGTCATCCATTTGGAAAATTTTGTGTATCAGGTCTTTGTTGGCTATCACTTCGATATTGATCAAACACAATTACCAAAATGGACTAAAACAAAT